TAGATTGCATTACGTGTCTGGCCCATCTGATATTCGATGCCTTGGCAAACGAGATAGCATCCCTGATTCTCGGTCGACGGAGGTCGGAACTCCAGATTCCTTCTCTCACTTAAGTTAATTGTGTTATTCCAAGCATAGCTCTTTCAAATCTTCTTTGGGAGACGCGAATAGCATTCTCATCCTGTTTTCGTAGGGCCCAGGTTTCTGAGGCGTATGTTAGTCCAGGAAGAACAGTGGAGTTGAAAAGATGTGTCTGGAGCAAGAGGTTCTTCATCTTCTTAACCACTTCTTCGACACTTTTGAAGGCGTTTCATGCTGCTCTCTTCCTACTGTGCAACTCAGGTGCCAGGTCATTTGTCATGTTAAGTTCTCGACCTAGGTACACATAACTGTTGCATTCGGAGATGTTCATTCCGTTGAGAATGTCAGAACGTCAGGAACTATTCCATTTCTCATGAACATTGTCTTCGTGAGATTCATCAGCAGTCCAACCTTTCCACACTCACAGTTGAAATCAGCCTGCATTTGTGCCACTTGGCTAATATTTGGTGTTATTAGAACTATGTCTCAGTGAAGCGGAGGTGGTGTAATTGCCAACCGTCTATCTTCACTCCCATTCCTTCCCATTCCAGTCATCGCATGACGTTCTCAAGGATGGCACTGAAGAATTTTTGTTGAGATGGTATCGCTCTGCCAAACCCCTGTCTTTACGTCGATGATCACTTTTCCTTGTAGAATGGTGAGATCCTGGTGGTGAATCTGTAATACAGTTCATGGAGGATCAGTATATATGTGTGTGTGTGTGTGTGTGTGTGTACTGATGTACATCAGGAAATTAATATATATTAAAATTAAGATCAGTTGCCCTCTACTTTACACCCCATTCAATGTGGCATGCTATTCCTAGTATATCACTGATGTAGAGTATGAGATGTCACTCCAGAAATTCTAAAATTTTAAATAGGTTGATAGAGCTAGAGTTAAGTTTTTAACTGGATGGTGACTTTGGGACAGAAGGCATGTTTGCAGCTTTTTGCTTTCTTCAGAGATTTATTTGTAAGTCTTTGGATCATGATTGTTAATGAGCTTATATGGTGCCAGAGGCAGTTCGTGGTTGTGACTACCAGGGTTCTGGAAGTACAGGGAGATGGGAGAAGGCAGCCCATTCCTGACTCCTGCAAGCCCAGAGATTTCAGTCACAAAATTTGCATAGCTGAGTTTTTCAGCAGATTCACTCATGAATTAGGCTCATCTGAGCCTGTGGAGATTAGCCGTGAGCATGGTGGCGATTGAGTTCTGGAGGTTTCTGGCTGTTGGGGCAGGGGAATCCTGTGACCTGCCCCCCTCGAAGCTGCCCCAGATAGGTTCAGCCTGGGTGGGGTCTGGAGACATGTCTGTATCTTGATGCTCTCTTCTATGATTTATTTATCTTAATATCTTTTTAGACTTGGAAATCCCTCCTACTTGGAGAAAATCGCTTCATATTCATTTTAAATCACTCTTATGTGTCATACGATAAAAAACTGTACTCATTTATGGAATATAAAATATCATAATATGAGACTAACATCCAAGGACAGTAGAGATAGGGCCAGGAATAGTACTCCACAGTTGAAAGCCTGCCTTATGAGCCGGGGGAAAGGGCAGCTGGGATAGAGAAGGGATCACTAAGTCAATGATGTTTGGAGGGATTGCTCGGTAAGGGAGATGTGTGCTGAAAGCAGATAAAGGATCAAAGGTGATGGCCTCTCATTATCTGTATTGTAAATGATAATGCCCATAAGCAGAGAGAGAGTAAGATGGAAACTGCCTGCCATAGCGGCAGGGGGATGGGTGGGACTGGGGGCATGGAGAGGGATACTGGGGACATTAGTGATGGAAAATGTACACTGGTGGAAAGATGGGTGTTCGATCATTGTATGACTGAAACCCAAACATAAAAGCTTTGTTAAGTGAAAAAAAAGTGTCTGAAAAACAAAGTAAAATAAGTATTAGCAGTTCTCCATTACCTGTTGTTGAGTGTTGAAACAAGAATTAATTTTTCACATGCTATTTTTTCCATGTTTGTTGGAAAGTTTTCTGTATAAGAGTTCTTCCTTAAGTTAAAGAATATTTTATTTATCCCACATTTAATCCCATTTTGTTCTCTAAATAGAAATAGATTCTCTGTAGGAATCAGAGCATACCTCAAGGAATAAATAAAAATGTTTTAAGATTTTGATTTTTAAAATGTATCAATCAATGGTAATTATATTGTCTTTTTCCCTGACAAACAGATTGGTTTTAAACAAAATAAGATAAGCATGACTGGCTGCTTTATCTTGCCATTTGTATTCAACAGAGTCATGTGAAATCTGCACTCATGAATTGAATTAATTACCTGGACTGTTTCCTTTAATATTTACAGATTATTTCTAGTTAAGAAAATTGCATATGTGTGAACAAAGTGCAAACTGTTAACTATAATAACAAATGTGTTGCTATCTTTTAGAGATATTTTTCTGATTCTGTTTTCATAATGATTTAAATAATCAGAGTCACATGAACTTAGAAGCTTTTAAAATGATTACCTAATTTAAATTGTATTTATTTTTTAACAGAGAAATATGAATTGTATTCAAGTGGCTAGGCTGTATGATTGGGAAGCATTGTGGCTCTTTTCACTTAGCTGGACCCTCAGTCTATTTATTCCAGAGATGCAATTAGAGTGTGTTAGAGCCTCCATAAAAGCGATGCCCTGTATTGATTTCAGGAAATAAAAAATTTGCATGACAATACGGATTCTGCCAGCACATGAGCAGGCTGAAGTCATCACTTTCCAGCTGTCATTACTATTTGGAATCAGCTAAATCTTATCATTTGACTGTGGCTTCAGTATATTTTTAACTGAATTATAAGGCAGCCAGAATTTACAATCAGAAAATGTCAGCTTTTTAGACAGATCTGACAATAGCATTTCATTTTCACTGCAGTCTGCTTTTTTCTCTTGGTAAGGTACAAATCACACCAAAATTGGAAGCCAGCCTGAATACTTATAAACCAATTTTTTTGGCCCATCTTTAAAGTAAAAAAGGTACATATTTACCAGACATATAGTCATTTGTTAACCCATCTCAATCTGCCTCATCTTCTTATCACTGGAATTTCTCTGAGATCACTAATGTGCTGTTATATAACACAGTGCAGGCTTTGGGGTCTATTTGTCTTCCAAGCTCGCCTTCATGTCTTGGATGGGTCAGGGCAACTTAACGCACCCTATTGTGTCTCATCTGTAAGTGTCTAAGGAAGAGAAGCTAATAGAAAGGAAAGTTAGCAATGTGTCAGAGTACTTGGCACAAGTTTAGACAGACTGTCGCAACAGGAAACATTTTACACACTTCCCATGGAGTTGAAGCCAGTGTTGGTATTGCAGGATAAGACCAGCAGCATCTGTTCTGTTGTAGAAAGACTAGGCATAGTGTACACTCCCAGGTGGGTCATTTATCAACTGAGTGATTTTGGGCATGTTTCTCATGTTTCTTATTCTCTCCAAGTCTTTCTATTTTTTCCCTTCTCAGATAGGTACAGTGTTTTCAGTCTGTTTATATCATAAGGATTTTATGTCAAAGTAGACAGGATTTTGGAATGAGATGATATGTTAATATTGCCCCACCAGTTGTAAGGTCTTCAAGATAGGAGAGTACTTTTTTTTTTGGTATATATCTTTTGTGTTCCCTTCGAATTCTCAGCAGTTAATGGGTATTTTATGAATAGTCACTGACTGGCTGGCTCTTGGATTTCTGTTGTCAGTTGGATTGTTGCTGCCTTTTCTTTTCTCCCTTGGTCTGTGATTACACTAAAGATGTTCTGAAGTCCTCAAGCCCAATTTCCACACTGAGTACAGTAAGACAGGGGGTGCACTGAGGTCATTTGGCCACTCTCTTTTGAATTCTGTCTTTAATTCAGGACTAGGCTTTTTAACAGAAACGAATCTTAGAGAAAGGTATGGGCTTTGAGTTGGTGGAAAATAGTAGTAGAATTGGGGGATAGAAAAATGCAAGCAATGAAAACTGCAAGTAATGGCTTTGTAGAACTTAATACTAAGATGGTGGGGAGGGAGGGTAGGAAGCCATGCAGTGTTAGATGAGAGTAATCCAATCATGACGCTACAGGGAACAACTATAACATCTCCTTTAAATTGCATGAAACCTTTCAATAAACAATAAATCTTGTTATTATAAGAATAAAATTTATATAATAAAATAAGGACTTGATTTTACCATACTTCAAACAGTGACTAGAAGTCCCAATTCTCAAAATGAAAACGTAATTAACTGATAGTACAGGAGCACTGGTATATGCAGGCTTCCTACAACACTGTGTACTTACCGCACTTTTACTCAGCAATACTCGTGGATAGGATAGTTTTCTAGACTTGTGTGGCTTCATATTTTGCTACTCTGTAGATAATCTATAATGCTGTTACTCAAGACCATGAGAGGGTACACATAATATGGTTCTTAAAACTCTTTCCCCGCAATTGTCTGCCATAAAGGCAGGGTGAGGACTGGAATGTGGGTGGTGGAAAATGCGCACTGGTGGAGGAATAGGTGTTCCATCATTGTATGGCTGAACCTCAAACATGAAGGCTTTGTAACTCTATCTCACAGTGATACAATTTTTTAAAAAAAAGTGGAGTTCATGCCCAATTCAATCAACTTGATCAATGGCTGAACAAATAGCAGTACTCCTACATTATTCAAAAAGGAAAAAAAAAACTCTTCCCCATCTTTCTTCTCTAGTTTGAGAGAGAAAAGGATTGAGAGCTATCACCTAAAACAAAAGTAATATTTTACTGATAAAAACTGATATTTTACAAAGAATGAAGTCATCTAACCCAAACATAATTATGTAATTCATCAATGTAATAATGAATAAAGAAATGCATTTTTCATTATTAATATTTTATTGTTATAATTTCCTTGGCTTACATTTGTAAAAGGTCTTTGTTTTAAATGCAGGTGAAAGAAAGTCATTTGATCCGAATTTTACAGGGCCTGTTGTCAAGAGGTAAGCAATTCTTTTTCTTGGAAATACATATTTTAACAAACACTGAAAGCTTATTTTCTGGTCAATGAATAATTGTATGTATTATTGGGGAGGAAGAGAGGATGACTTAATTTAAGCCTGAGTGTCACATTATTTACAATGAAGGAAATACAGAGAATAAATCTTTCTCTGAGTCATGAATATCTTCCACCTATTTAGCAAAATGAACTGCCTTAAGTTATTACACTAAAGAGTTTGCATATCTCAAAAAGAAAAAAAATGCTTTACAAGATTTAACCACTCTGTGTAGAAGAACACACATTTGAGTAGCTTTATGCCTCTGTTTACTCTGTGATTCACTATTCCAAATGCAGAGTTGCTATGCCAACTTCATCCACATCAGGTGTTTGTGCTATTCAGATTCCAAAAGCATAACACTTTCTCAGAGACATCCATTCCCTGATGCATCATGTACACTTGAGGATGGCTTAAAATTATCTAGGGAAATATGAACCTGTCTCAACTGGTGTTTCTCTCTCAAGACATTGGTATGACATTTAAAAATTATTCAATAATTCATAGGTTTCTCTTATTGTTTCCTCCGTTCCAAGGCTTCCTGTTCATCAAAAATGGGGGTTGTGGCATAGGATGACTAAAAATTAAGTGATGATTATGCTATTGATAACTGTTTTTCACTTACCTTTGACTTTGATATCTGATAGTTGTATGTTTAATGAACTGTAATATGATAATCAACATGCTTATTTGCACTTGTCAGTCCTAGGCATGTATATTAGCATTTGCTGTTATGCCCCTATAATATGCTACATTTAAGCAAATGTGTGTTCAGTTTATTCTAATTTTGTAAAAAAAAAAGTCATTTATTTTGGGTTGTGCATTTAAAGGTGTACCAATGCTTGCCTTAGAACAAATATATAATCTCTCTCATTTTCTCCTTAGTTCATCATAAACACTTTTAATAATTTAGTACATAAACTCAGTCAATACAAAGATTACTTGTATTAATTTACTTGCATTCATTTCATAGTAAGTGATTTATAAGAATTAAACCTAGCCTATGGACCTCAATTGATCTCTAGGTATGATACAGATTAAACAGTGATATTAATGACAATAGCAAGATACAGATTGTAGATGTTCTTTCTTTAGCTTGAAGGAAAATTCAGAGCTATATCTGGTGGTTCTAGGTGTGAAGGAGTCCTCAGTTATTTAGGTTTTAATGACAGAGACAATCCAGGTAAAGTCTAAACAACAGTGATAATCACTGTGAGGAAAATCATTTATTTTTAAAAGAGGCACCTTTTGTGATGCCCTAGGATCCTCAAAGACTTCAAAGGTGAACCAGTGATTATGTGGGCATAGCTCCCCACCTCTTCAATCCAAGAGCAGAGGCAAGTATTCTAAACCTTAGAGGCAGTGCCACATGAGAGGTTTTCATTTGTTCCCATCTACTAGGAATTGGGTGTTTGTTAAATTTTGCCTCATTTTGTTGACCAAAACAGGAAAATTTTTATGGTTTAAGGATTATTCCAATCCCTTTTGGAAAAGTGGGTATCTAGTGTTCATGCTTTTTCCCTATTTTCAAGCATTTTAAAACTGAGTATATTAGAATGAAATTAATTTTTAAAGTCTCAGAGAGCCTGGCAAGCTACCGAGAGTATCCCATCGGCACAACAAAGTCTGACAAGCTACCCATGACATATTCGATATGCCAAAAACAGTAACAACAATTTTCACAATGGAGATGTTACTGGTGCCCGCTCGAACAAATTAATGAACAACGGGAGGACAATGCTACAGTGCATAAAAGTTTAAGGACTGCCCAGCATTATTTAGAGGACAAAAATTAATTTATGAGAACTAAGATGTCATATTAGAAACTCCTCTCATTTAGAACAAATTAAAAACGCCACTACATTATTCTCTCTTCTGTTAGATAAGTAGAGTTGTAAAATTCACTGGTTCTCCTTGTATACTGACTTGAAGAAAGCCCACAATAAATTTAATGCCAGCAACTACATTAGCCTTTGAGTTGGGAATTTCCTTTCAAGATTTTAAATTTCTACTTTTAGTACACCATGCACCCAGATGCTTTAAATTTTTCATTTAAGATCCTTTATGGGGAAAAAAAAAGCATTATATGGAAATAGGTAGACATATAAAAAGAAGTGAAAGCCTGCATGTCCCTAATTGCCTATTTTCCTCTTCTTAATATACAAAATAGGTAAAGGACATATGATTCACACTAATTAAATTGACAAGTCTCACAGTGTTGCATCTCTTGTTATAGAAAGTAGGAAATATATCTGAAATATGTAATAAGATACATTTATTTTTACCTGACGCTGTGTGCAAAGGTGGAAGTTCCTTATCATGAGAACTCCAAGGAAAGGCTGAAGAGATACTTATTAAATATATTATAAAAGGGAATCACATACGAGTGGGACTAAAAGAAATCAGATATTTTCAATCTTGAAATGCAGGAGCTCTGATTAGTGACAACACACTAAGGAAGAATTCAGCTTCTGCCTTAAGCAATACACACACAAAGCACTATGCTGATGCTCTGAATTCTATGAAGAGAGAAGTCAAGGAGACTTCTCAAATTATTGTGATAATGCAATGCTATCATCTAAATTTATGCAGGTCTTATATTTGTTTCTTGTTGACACATTGATTTGTTTTCTGTCACTGTAAAGGAAATCTAGGTAGAGGTGGGGTTCATTCTCATAGAGAAGTGTGAAGAAATGATTGTCAGAAAAAAGCAGATACACCACATTAAGTTCAAGAGAAAGATGTAGGATCAAGCACATACTTTTGCACTACCAGTTGTCATTACCATCTAGTACTTTTTGGTCTTTGCCCCAGGTCCTTCATGACAAGTCAGTCTACCAGTTACTCTATGCCACATCATTGAATCATGTTTATCATTGAATCATGTTTATCTTATAGTTTTTACCAATACTAAAACTGCTTTATTCATTCCCTGTATAATATCTCCCAGGGCCTGTCCAGGGAGAGGCCTGATGACTTTCCGCATGCGTTCTGTGGGCCTGGGCCACTCCCCAGCAGGGGCAGCCCAGGCCATGGGGAAGACAGAGGAGGAAACGAGGTCCAAGCCGGTTGATTGATCAGATGCCCTTTATTCCATTCTCCCCACGCGCCTGCCCCAATCTCTCTGAGCCTCCCGGTCTAGTTTCACACTGCCTCTCATTCCCGTCTCCTCCTGTCTCTCCTGCTCAACTCTCTGCACTCCATCTTGAAGCCTGGGCTTGCTCTCTCCACATGCCTGCTCCTGTAGTCTTCTACATCCTTCTCCCTCTGTCTCCCTTGCTAGTCCCTCCACAGCCCATCTTGCTGCTCTGCTCTCTCTTTCTCATCTCTTCAACTCTCTTCCTCTCTCCAGCTCTCTTCTCACTCCAACTCTCCTGCACTCTAGGCTGACACTGCACCCAGTCTGGTAGCAAAATCAACATAAGAAAGCCCTTCCTGAGGGTCCACCATGTTCAAAGGAAACACCACCAAAGAGGTATTCCAAAGCCCTTCCTGACTGCCCAAGGGCAAAATACCTACTATGGTGTTTTTCTCCTTTCCTCTGTCCAATAACTCTATCAACATCTTGATATTAGTTATTTTTGTATGGACACAGTAAGAGATACACTGAGGCTTGTAAGACAGCTCTCCTGGAAACATCTTGCTGCAGACTCAGACTACAGAGCTCAGGCCAGATTAATCTTTCCTAACCCTAGCAGAGTCCAAATCTAGTTATTACTTCTTTGGATCATGACAGCATTTGTCCATGACCAAGCTCTTAACTTATAGTTAAGCATTATGGCACTTTGGCCAGGCCCATCTCGATGCCAGGGTAGCACATAGCTTACCAGTTGCCCTGGTTCCATCAAGTCCCTCCTCGGAACCCTGCCTTTGGGGGTTCTAGGAAGTAAGGGCAGCTGAGGCTTAGGTCAAGAGAACAGATGCCCAGGAGGAAAATAACACTGAGAGTCACATTACAAAAGTATAGCATATACTGTCTTCTTGTGTCCATGCAAAAAGGACATTGCTCTGAATAAACTATGCAAAGGACTTAGGGAGAAGAGAAAAACAATATTTACAAGTCAACAGAGCACAAGGTTTACACATAAACACAGAGGAATGGGAGTATTGTGATGGGAGCAACCCAATAAACCTAAGCTGCCTGAGGCTATGCAGGAAGGACAAAACAAAGTTATCCTATAATTTACTGTGTTGTTTAACTAGTTAGTGTCTAATGTGGGATTTCAGGTTTATGAGACTCAACAGACTTATGTGTTTGTTCATCAATTTATACCCTGAATTTAGAAAAGTCCCTGAAATATACCATGTATTGTATACATACTTAAATGAAGGTGACCGTAGTTTCAAAATTGAGGCTATACTACAAAGAACAAAAGAAGTAAAAATGAAAACTGAATATCATTTAAATTATTTAAGTAATTCAGTGAAAAGTAATGAGCCTGCATTAAGCCAGTGGCCCCAGGAAAGATAAATCTAAGAGGCAAAAATCTACATGGCTTTCAGATTGATAATATGTTGGGAGTAGACATAAGATTCTAGCAGAACTATGTCTAATAACTTGACAGGGTGTGGTTATCAACAAAGTAGGGAATGCATGAGAAAGGGTTGGGATGGGTTTTAAGGGTAGAGAAAATGTGTTTAAGTTTGGAATGTTAAGTTTGTGGATGCTTTTGGCACTTCCAGCTAGGAATATTTAGCAGAAAGTAAGAAATATTTTCCTGAATATCTTTGCAATATTGTTATATCAATTTTAAACAAAATACAAATGGAGGATCTTTTTAAAAATGCTTTTATTTAAAAAACTGTGATTTACAAAGTTCAATAGTTGAGTTTTAGGCATACAACATTTCAACACCAATCCTACCATCAGCATCAACTTCCCTCACCAGTGTTCCCATATTCCCTCCCCATACCCAACCCCACTCCATTTCCACATGCCAACTTAA